TTAGTCCAAATCTGCATCCTTACCTTCAAGGCTCAGTAGTCCAAGATTATCTTCTGTATCTGTGTTAATTGGTTTCCCTTTTCTTTGTTGAAGAGGGTCTGTGCAATCCTTCTGCCTAGTCCGCCATCTTGCCCCGCCTCCAGGCTCTCAATTTTTAATACTAGTGTTTTTCCTTCAGATTTGTCATTTTTCTTGGTCCTTTTACCATAACATTCATAGTGCCTAAGGCACTTGACTGCTAACCAGAAGGCTGGCAGTTCAAACCCACCAGCCACTCCCAGAAAGAAAGGTTGGGCAGTCTACTTCTGTAGTGATACAACCTTGGAAATCCAAGGAGGGGCCGTTATGAGTCGGGTCCCACTCGATGGCACATAACAACAACAACAACAACAACAACTTTCATTTATTAATGAGCTGGATTTCTGTCATCCAACCTCAGTATCTCTGAGTTCAATTTATTATGTCACTTAACAAATGTGTATCTTTTCTATTCTGAGATTAATATTCCACACAGGTATATTGCTTTGTTCCATCAAAATAATTTTTATTTCCAAAGATTTTCTTTTGACTGTTACGATTTTTATGTCATTTTGTTCTTTTTATGCTAGGCTTTTATATTATTACAAACTAAATTCAAGACACTGTACTTATTGACTTTTATATGGAAGTAAAATTTGAAATTGAAACAATTACTGTACTATAAAGACTCAAACCTATTAAGTAACTGAGGTATCTCTCCACAGCAACAGTAGGAAAAGAGCATTTTTCTTAAAGATAGCCTTCATACTAACAGATAGCCAGATAGATAGCTAAGCCTGAATATGTCTCATTATGCTCACAGAGAAAGGAAATGCCCTATTCCCAGTTCACTAGTACCAGTTACTTTAAACAGACCTGACAGAAAACCACACACTCCAAATCAATAAAATGAATGTACATGGGTGAATTTTAAATCTCCAAACAAAACTGATGAAAAATAAATTAAGAATTCCTTTTTCACAATGAATATTTAAATTTTTAAACTTAAAAATATTTGAATTTTTAGACAGTTAAAGCACATACTTTTAGGATGCATATAATCTAAAAATAATACAAGAGTCAACTTTAAAAGTCAAAAATAGTCAAACTCCAAATTCTAGCTCACAGTTTTATTTAAAAAAAAAATTTTATTAACCAGTATGAAAAGCCTCAATTTTATATACTACACCAAAATACTTACAAGTTGATGTTCTAATCGTTGGATTTTTTCATCTTTTTTCTTTATTTCCTCTTTAAGTTGCTTTATTTCATTTAATAAATCTTCATTCTGAAATATTTTTTTAAAAATTAAGATGATATATTTAAGTGCATTTAAAATATCCAAATAAGAAACACTGAATCAATGAGGAAGATGTAGCAGTTAATGAACTGTTCATTTAGAGGGATGCGTCCTTCCAAAGCAAATTGTTTGTGTTAGATATTGAACTTTAAAAAATCCATTTTGGTCTTTTAAGGAGTCTGACATGGAAAGAATGAACAGTAGCAACAGTTATAACTAACATTTACTGAGTACTTATTATATGCCAGGACTGTTTAAAAATTTAAACATTTGATTCTGACAATCCTGAGGTAGGTACTATAATCTCATTTTATAGATAAGAAAACTGGTACATAGGCCATACCACGTAATAAATCACACGCAATCCAAGAACTTCCACTAAATTTCAAGAGACACATAAGAGACACTATCACAGAAAACAAAGAGGGGCACAACAAGAAGAGGGAACAGTACAAATTGAGGCACAGAGTCATTCAAGACTTGTTCACAGAATTCAGCCAAAAGATAAATGTGCCTGAGTAAGGAAGGTGTGTGTGGTAGGTAGGAGATTCTTTTTCCATGAGCCACTTCCCAGAGGAAAGTTGCCTGAATCAACTCAATCTGTAAAAAATGCCAAATAATACTAAATGAAAACTTTCAAGTTAAGAAGAAATCAGGTTATATTTCCAAAGGGTAGAGTTTCATTACCAAATAGACTCTTTTGTGTACTACTATTTAATTATTCAGAAGTTCCTTGTACTTTTACTGAGGAACTAGAACAAATGAGGAAATTAGAATATATAAGTGAATGACTTATCTTCTATAGGAATTAATATGCAAGCAAATAATTATAATGTGTTATTTCTGAGTAAAATATGTCCTATACTTCAGATGTGTGAGGAACAAAAAATAAATTCCAGTCACCTTAAGAGGATATTAGAATAGACATAATACAAAGAATTTAACATATCAAATAAGCATTACAAAGCAATAGGAAAAAAAAAAGATTTTTGTAATACTGTGGTTATGTTTACTGCAACTGGAAAAGACTGTATCATATATAAAAAATGATATCTAGCTGAATTTTTAAAAAGTTTAGAAAATTTTAGGAACTATAAACCGAGAGAAAAACAAGAAACATTACAGATCATTTCTAAGTTGTGTCTCAAATAAAGCTATTATGAAATGATAAATATATTATGTAAAATTTTAAAGTTTCTATACAATTACCAGTATAGAATAGAATACAAAATAGTACCTATACATAACAAAGGCGTGCTGGTGGTACAGATATTAACAAACTGTTTGGACCAGATGGACTAAAGGAACATGGAAAAAATCAAAACATCACTTGTGTAAAATAACAACGTTTCTTTAAATGTATAAAACTGCCTTCACAAAAAACAAAATTCAGGAATAAAGGTCAGCTTTGCTTATAAAATGTCAGTCATTAAAAAAAAAAATTATCTAAGTTAATGACTCTCAACTGGGTGTGTAAGTAAAAGTTTTTAAAAATAAAAGTACCTCCTATAGACCTGCTAATTTATAGTATCATAACACTGAGAAGAGGACGGAGGCCCAGAGATGGAAAGTGATTTGAACAGGGACAGGTAGGTTGTAAGTAAAAGAGTTAAGACTAGAATAACCAGCTGTGACTACTAGCCATATTATTTTGCTTTTGAATGCTCTATATATAATCTTGTTCCTCATAAGTTGTTCCTCCTCTTATGAGAAAATTATGTTTCCCAGCACCCCTAATATCAGGCTTGACTACTTGACTTACTTTGGCCAAGAATATATGAGAAAATGTGACTAGGCAACATCCAAGCAAAAGCCATATAGTTAGCCACTTTGTGGTTCTACTAATGTTCCCTTCCCTCTGGAACAAAAACATGTTCCAGGGTAGCGCCTGATCCTTTAGCTTGAAGCAGAATGAAGAATATATACAAAGCAGTCTCAACTGATTTGCAGCCATTTGTAACAAAAATGAGAAATAAACCTTTCGTGCAGTTTATTACTTGGTACTGCTCTTCTAGCCATTGTCTTTGTGATTCCCACCAGATGATTGGCTGGAATTTTGCAAATACAAGGGGCTTGTGGTCTACCAAGGGGAATGGAGAGTTTGTTAGTAATATAAATAAGGTACATAGCACCCTTGTGGGGTGGGACCATGGAAATAAGGTATATGGAGGAATCCTAATGTGGGGATTGATCAGTTTTGTCATTCTTCTAGGCTTAAAATGAGCCCTTACTTTTCAGAAGGAAAGAATCTGACTACCATCAAGATGCAGAAGAGCCCAGAGTGGGGCACACCCTTACACTTGAGATCCCTGTGCTGAGACAATAACAGAAAGATGGCAGAGAGATGGTGGCAGCAGAACAAGGAGACCATCTTGAGACAGAATGGGAGGCTGGCTGGCCCATGGAGTAAGAAAGCTGAGCACCTTTGGGCAGGAGTCTTGCTGGCAGAGTGAGGTGTACCTAGGTGCACCTACCGGCATAGCGAAAAGAACTTTGTAATACTTGACCAAGAAGTGCAGAGGCCAGACTGAGAGGCTAAGAGTCAAAGAGAGGTGTGTCTTCAGGCATGGCTGTCCTGATAGCAGAATTGTATCCTGAGAGTTCCTACATCTGAACTGTAACCTGTTACTACCCTAATAAGCCCCATAATCATGAGTCTTGTCTGTGAGTTTTGTGTGGCCACTGCAACCAATTATTGAACCCAACAGAAAAGTGGAGAGTACCATAGCAGGGACAGTTGATGTCAGAACTAATAAAAAGGTTGGAAGGTAGCACCATGTCTGACCTCCACCTCATAGGAATTAGCCTTGGGCTGCTGATACTGTTCTTGATTCTGTCTCCCCCTCATGAAATTAAAGGAGGTCAGAGGATGCTGCCCCTATGATCTTTTTGCAAAACTTTTCTTCTTGTAAGCCATCAATGTTTTGAGGTTGTTTATTGCTGCAGAATGTAAAAACCAATAAAAATTTTACTCAAAAGATATTAAATAAATCAAGAATACTACTGTGTGCTTAAGAAATAAATATGTGCCCTAAGAAATATTTTAATAAGAGCTTTCTTCAACTAAAAGTAAACGTAAAGATATATGCATTAAAAAAATATACTTTTAATGGTTCCATTTACAATAGCATCTAAGAGAATAAAATATCTAGAAATAAATTTAATGTGGGATGTGAAAAACTTACAGATTGAAAATTATAAAACATCACTGAGAGATTAAAGAAGATCTAAATAAATAAAAGATTAATATCCAGTATATATAAAGAATTGCAATAGCCATTTTACCAAAGAATAGATAGAAATTGTCTACAAATACATGAAAAGATGTTCAAATTCATTAGCCGTTAAAACCATTGCTATCGAGTCGATTCTGACTCATAGCGATCCTCACTGGGTTTCTGAAGCACCGATCTTTACAGAAGTAGATTGCCTCATTTTCTTTCTGTAGAGCAGCTGGTAGATTTGAACCACTGACATTCTCATTACCAGCCAAATAAAATGCCTTAATCACTAAACCACCAGAGCTCCTTAGCCATCAGGAAGATGCAAATCAACCACAATGAGATACCAATTCACATCCACTAGGATGGCTAAGATAAAAAAAAAAAGAAAAGAAAAACCTGAAAACAGCAAATGTTGGCAAGGGTGTGGAAAAATCGGAAACTATCCATTGCTGATAGGTATGCAAAATGGTACAGCTACAATGAAAATCAGTTTGTCAGTCCCTCAAAAAGTTAAGCATAGAGCTATCATATGACCCAAAAATTCTACTCCTAGGTATATATAGATATGCAACACAGACAGACACTTGTACACCAATGTTCACTGCAGCAGTATTCTCACAAACAAAGGGTGAGAACAACCTATACCCCATAAATAGATGAATGGATAAACAAAAAGTGGTACATACATACAACAGAATACTACTCAGCAGCAGGAGAAACAAAGTCTTGATACATGCTACTATATGGATGGAACTTGGAAGACACTACACAAATTGAAATAAGTTAGTCACAGAAGGACAAATATTATAAGATCACACATGAAATAGCTAGAAAAGGCAAATGTATAGAAATCAAAGTTTATTTTTACCAGAGGTAGAAAGGAGGAGAGGAGGGGAAGTGTTTAAGAAACATTGAGTTTGTAGTTATGGTGATGGAATTTTAATAACAAATATTGATGATGTTGACACATGATTAATGTAATTGATGTGACTAAATTATAAATGTGGAAAAAAATGAATTAGCAAGTGTATTATATATATTTTTACAACAACAAAAGTGTATTTTCAAACACTTGAGAAAATGCATAATTATTGACTGCATAATTATATTTTCAAACATGAAAATAAAGATCAACACAAATTAGTCTCATTTTCTGTATGTTTTTTCAATGTTGACATTATCAATGAGAAGTAACTTCTCAGCTTTGGTCTTTATTGGTAGTCTTTCTTAAAAACCTGTTATGTATAATTTATAAGAAATCATTTTTAAAAAACTCTTGCATCAGTAATAACATAGGGTCAAATTATTCTTAAAAAAGAAATGCAAATTAAAGTAACAAAGAGATAATATTTTAAAAGTCAATCAAGACAGCAAAGAGGTAAGCTTTAATATATTTATTATTATTTGTTTTTAACAGCTATTGCTTTATTATTTCAGTAATAAAAAGGAATTCTGAAAAATTCAACATGATTACCTAGTCATACCTTATATATCTGATCACTATCTTCTGGTTCCGGGCTAGATGGCAATGAGAGTTGAATATCATGCAAGGAACCACTTCCATCATGCTGTCAAAAAAATAAAACAAAACAAAACAAAAAGACATGAACCAATAGATTTGAGAAGCTCAATTTATAACAGTTAAAAAATTAAAAATATACTTTCTGATCATATGGAATTTAAGTAGAAATGAGTAATGAAAGCATAATCTCCAAACACTTGGAAATTAAAAAATATATTTCTAAATGATCCATAGGGGTCTCTGGGTGGTGCAAAGGTTTATGTGCTCTCTGCTAACCCATAAAAGTTACTGTTTCAAGTCTATTCAGAGGTACCTCAGAAGAAAGGCCTGGCATCTGCTGCAGAAAAATAAGCCATTGAAAATCCTATGGCTCTGGCATACATGAGGCTTCCATGAGTTGCAGATGACTTGATGGCAACTGTATTTTTTATGATCCAAGGGTCAAAGGTAAATTAGAAAATAATATAAAGGTAGCAAATCAATGTTGTTATTATGTGCCGTTGAGTCGACCCCGACTCATAGCGACCCCTCCTTGGGTTTCCCAGGCAGTATCACTACGGAAGTGGGATTGCCCAACCTTCCTTCCGAGGAGTGGCTGGTGGGTTTGAACCACCAGCCTTCTGGTTAGCAGTCAAGTG